ACACTGTAATAAGAATGTGAAAGAAGGCCATGAAAAGCTCTAAGCTCTTCCTCTGACAATACCCTGACAATAGACTTATCTATACTATCCCCAACTGGGAGGTCTTTTGAGAAAACCCTATAAACAAAGGCACACAAGAGTATTCCTCACTTTGAGGGGGGCTGCCTATATCTACACTTGGGAGGTATACACCCTCCACTTGGGATGGGGACTTGCCCCCAGTTCTCCTCCAGAGAAACCCATATTCAGTTTCTTTTCTCATTCCCTATAGTTCCTGAATAAAGATACCTTACTTCTCCTCCCCCCACCCCCAATCCCCCAAGGGTGGCGTAACTGAAGCAAAGAGGATAGAGGTGGTCACTTTCTCCTGATCTGCCTCTTCTACCCTGAGGCTGGTTGGGAGGGCTAGGTCTGATAAAATCTGCAAAGAGCCCTAGCACAGCCTAGATCAGAGCCCGATCAGGGCCATGAGGTGGCCTGCAAGCCACACCTGAAGTCTGCTTGGACTCAGCATGGGAGTTGATCCCCACTATTTGATTTTTGGGGGAGCCATGGACTCGGGTTAGGGTGAGGAACTGCTCTTTGCAGGAAAGGAAAGTTAGTCCTAGGCCTTACCAAGGGTTACTGGGTTCTAGTCTTGCAAAAAAGAATTTCAGGAAGATGAGCAGTGAAGTGAAGCAGATTTTATTTGGAGGGTTTTAGGAAGGGGAGGGGGGAAGGGAAAGTGAGAGAGTAGAGTAACCACTCAAGAGTGAACATGGGCTTCTCCAAAGGAGACAGCCCCTACACACATCCCAGCATTACATATGAAAGTACACAGCTCAAGAGGGAGATGTGGGTGACACATGCACTTAGCCACATGGGCACAAGCAGCACATCAGCTTGGGCAGCATATGCACACCCTTCTTTTGTTCAGGGTGACTTTTATAGTTTCTCCAACTCAATGTGGAGCTTTTGAGGAAGGTAAGAGTTTATTGCTAGGGGTATTGCTAGGGTTTATTGCTAGGGCTTATTAAGGGGGTAGAGTTGGGAGTAATTTTCATTGAAACTTCTTTTTTTGACCTTTGTTTCTGCTGAATCTTCTCTAGTGGGGTGGGTCAGCTTTCTGTGGTCTGGCTAGCTGAGGGTTAATAGAATTAAAGGAAGGAATTGAGGGTCCTCAGAAAACTTTTTTTCAGCCCCTATCTGTAGCCCAATACATCAAGATCCTCCGTGAGCTGTATTGCGGATTCACTACCAGGATCTCACCATTCTACAAAGAAGTAATCATTGATGTCAAGAGAAGGGTTCGGCAGGGTGATACCATTTCACCAAGACTCTTCAGTGCCACACTCGAGAACATCATGCGACGACTGGAATGGGAAGGAATGGGAGTGAAGATAGATGGTCGGCAATTACACCACCTCCGCTTTGCTGATGACATTGTTTTAATAACACCAAACATCAGCCAAGTGGCACAAATGCTGGCCGACTTTGACCGTGAGTGTGGAAAGGTCGGACTACAGCTGAATCTTACGAAGACAATGTTTATGAGAAACAGCCTCATTCCTGATGCCCCATTCGCTCTCAACGGAATGACCATCTCCGAATGCAACAGCTATGTGTACTTAGGTCGAGAAGTCAACATGACAAATGACCTGGCACCTGAGCTGCACAGGAGGAAGAGAGCGGCTTGGAACGCCTTCAAGAACATCGAAGAAATAACTGAGAGGAGGAAGAACCTCTGGCTCCAGCACATCTCTTTGATTCCACTATTCTTCCTGCATTAACATATGCCTCAGAGACCTGGGCCCTACGCAAACAAGATGAGAACGCTATTCAGGTCTCCCAAAGAAGAATTGAAGAGCTATGCTTGGAATATCACGTTTCACTCAAATGAGAGAAAGAATCCGGAGTTCTGACATCTGTCGATGATCAAGAATCAGGGACTCTGTCTTGTTTGCCAAGGTGTCAAAAATCAGATGGGCCAGTCACGTAATGAGATTTAAAGACGACCGCTGGACTAGAGCTGTTACTGACTGGATTCCACGGGATGTCAAAAGACCACGTGGCCGCCCACCTACCAGATGGTCAGACTTCTTCGTCAAGATCATGAACGATCAGTTTGAGGCTCTTCATGTTCCCAGAGCGAACAGATGCCATTGGGCTACACTAGCACGCGACAGGGACAAATGGAGATGTTACTGGCGCCCGCTCGAGCAAATCGATGACTAACGGGAAGTTAAGTGATTACGTGATGATCTGTAGGGAGGGGTTCAGTCTCTTCAGGGTCTGCTGGTGGAGAAGGTCTTATAAGGTCTTGCTTTCTGTGGTCATAAGGTGGGTCAGCCTTAGGACAAGCTTTATTACCTTCCATAATTTCACTGCCATGATATCGGAGGCCCTTCCCTAATTTACCTGCCTGCTTACATCAGGTGGAGATCACAATTCAGTTTAAGGCCATGGGTCCTAGAGAACTGGAGTGGGTGTGAGGTTTGGAGAACTAGCTACTGTTGTGAAGAGTAAGTGGACCTCAGATGCAGCTAGACTACCTCCCAGTTAAGCCGGTGAGACATAAGTGTCCACACTGGGCAAGTGTTCATGGCAACCTCTACCAGATCCAGTTCAGCCAGGCACTTCCTCTAGGAGAGCAAGGCAGTGAGCAGGAAGTCAGCAGTACTCTCCCTTTGTTGAGCTACTTCCTGTCTTACTGCATTCGTCACCAACAACGCTTGGCCATGAAGCCAGGAGTCCGGTGACCTGCAATATTTCTTGAACCATCCGGGAGAATTTCTTCTTTGGAGGAGACATGTCTCCCACCTACATCAGTGATTTTAATAGGCTGCCTGCTATCAGTCAGGTTTACTGAGAAAAATGCTTGACTCTATTAACCATTTGATTACTAGAAAATGTTTGCAGTAGAGGTCTAATATTCTATGAGGTCAAGGAAGTATAAAGGCAACTATTTTCATCTGATTTATACTTTCTCACAGCAGTGTGAAATGCACCTCATATTTTGAGTTGCATTTTGTATTTACAAATGCTTGGGAAAACCTCAAATATTTTAATTTTGCTCTTTTTGCCAGTGGGATGAAATCATTCAAGATGCTTTTGAGATCCAGATCCTGGAGAGCTCTCCCTATATTTTCCTCAGTGTATTTTATAGATTCCGATCTAATTTTAATGTTTTTAATCCATTTTGAATTAATTTTTGTGTATGGTGTACTTGCAGACAGCCAATAAGCATATGTTCATCATCACTTATTATCAGGGAAATGCATATCAAAACAACAATCTTATACCAGTGACAATGGCCATACATAAGATATACAGGAAACAACCAGTGTTGGCAGGGATGTGTTTCAAAAGAACTCTAGGGGCTGAAGTGATAGCACAGCGGGTAGGGCGTATGCCTTGCACGCAGCTGACCTGGGATCGATTCCCAGCATTCCATATGATCCCCTGAGCACCGCCAGGAGTTAACTCCTGAGTGCAGAGACAGGAGTAACCCCTGTGCACCCAAAATGCAAAAAATAAAAAATTTTAAAAAATTCCAAAAACATTTCAAAAAGAACTCTCATTTACTGCTAGTGGAAATGTCTGGTTCAGCCTCTATGAAAAATTTCAAAAAACCCAACTATATGGGGTGTCACAAAAAACTAACAGAGCTTCTTGGGCTGTAGAGATAGCAGAGTAGGTAAGATGCTTCATTTGACTGTGGCAGCACATATGGGTGCCCTGACTACTGTCAGGAGGAATCCCTCAGCACAGAGCCAGTGGTAAGTCATGAACACCATAGGTGTAGCCCCAAAAGAAGCAAAAAAGAATAAAGTTTCTCTATGATCCAACAATTCCACTCCTTGGCATCTATCGCCTGAAAAGATACAAGCATACCTATGCTTACTGCATGTTTAATACAACAGTTGGGATATCTCAACTACAGATGTGACAGTAGTGGCATGCACAATAGAATACTGTGCAGCTATAAGGGATGGAATCATACAATTTGTTGCATCTTGGATGGAACTGGAGGGCATTGTGCTGAATAAAACCAACCAGATGGAGAACAACAGTGAATGATCTTTACTGATCTACAGTGCAGAGGGAAACTAAACAAGGTAAGAGATAATACTGATTGAAAACAAACGCTGTGTACTGGAGAACAAGCCCCAAGAACTTCAAATAGGGGAAAAAAAAAGTAGTGGAAAGGGTAAATAACACAGAGACATGGATATGGATGAGGGATCCTTAGATCCTTTGGTGGTGGTGGTAACCATGTGCACCAAGACCATAAATGTCAACACCACTGTAAACATGTTGCTTTAATGATAATGATAATTATAATAATAAAACCAAACAAATGTTTGTTACGAGCTCCTGTGCCTTGTCACATTTTGAGTTTTTAAGCCAAGGTTCTCTTCACTTAAAGCATACACCATACAGCCTTCACATGTACCTCTTGATTTTTTTTTTTTAATGATGTGCACGCCCTGGTATGCACTGTTCAGAGCGAGATAAGAAAAATAAAGAAAAAAAAAGAATCACCTCGTACACTTTTCCAGCCTCTAATCCCCTAGAAGTAAACCAATATTTTGATTCATGTGAACACTCGTCAACTTCATTAACAAAAACTTAAACGGAAACGAATGATCATTCCGAAGGGCATTTAACTGGCTTTAATGCAAACTCACCAATTGTCTAAGTATAAATGCTAGTCATTTTGGCGCCAAAATCTTTAGGGCAGCGCCTCCCTTTCTACATTTCCTGCTCTTCCAGTCGGGTCAACACTGGGGGCACGCCAGGCGATGCAGAGTCCGCTACTGTTGGGGATAACCGCGTCTCTTTCTTCCCTGCTCCACCTGCACGCTGGGACCCGGCCTGGTCGTGCGCAGTGAGCGTCCTCGCGGCGCGCGTCACGCCTGTGCGCACGCGCAAAGCCGCGCCCGGGGCGGAAGTGGGACGCGGGCGGGCGGGCGGAGGTGGGGGCTGCAGCGCCGGCTGCGGGGTGGGTGAGTGGCCGACATGGTCCACTCCCGGACGCTCGCGCTTCACCTGGCCGCGCTGGGGCTGTTGCTGTGCTGCGCTCCCAGGACACAAGGACGGCGGAGCGACGTGCGCGTCATCACCGAGGAGAACTGGAGAGAGTTGTTGGAAGGAGAGTGGATGCTGGAATTGTGAGTGTGGCGCAATCGTGTCGGGATGCCCAGCTCGGGCAGGTTGGGGTCCCCCATCCACGTCTGAACTGACGACGAGTTTAGCCCCTGACTCCCCCCTCTGCCTGGCACTGAGTTCCGGGTGACTGGAACTTCGAACCCCAGAGCGGCTGCCCCGGATTCGACCAGATCCCCAAACTCCTCTTGGAATTTGGTCCCGGCTGGGTCCCACCCCTCTGTCGGTTTCCAGGGAATATTAAGTTTCCTGTGAAGTGTGTTCCCTGCTTCTGATTCTAAAACTGGGCTGCTCCTCGGAGGTTGCATTTCTTTTCCCTCTTCTCCCAGTCTCTTGAAGGCTTTGCAGAGAGGTGATGGATCTGACAACTTCCCTATAGTTGTATTCGAAAGCGATCCTTTGCAGAGACTTTCCAGAACGTTGCAAAAGAGGGAATTGAGCGGAATCTTCCTTCTTTTGTCTAATAAGCCTGTAGAGTTGGAAATCGGGACTCGTTTAACGTTATAGATTAGGTGCCTTTGGTTCGGTTTTGAATGCAAAGTAAATTTAAGTTGGTTGGTTCACATACACGTTCTCTTCGTTATTAGTCGCTTTCCCCTACCCTCTCTCTACCCCAACTCATGTTTCTGCTTTTGATGTGTGTTTTTGCAATGTACTCCATGTATGTTTTTCAACTTGGGCTCTGACTCTTAGGCCTTTGTAAGGGGGGTAGCCTCAAAAGAAAATATGTGGGTGGATAATAAATTTGAGAAAGTGCCAGGTCATTGTTTACTGTAGAAAGAAAATAACATTACTTCTGAACAGTAGAATATAAAACTCTATACCTTTGCTTTAGGTGCTAAATTGGTATGCTAGCAAAATATAGTAACACTAATAAAAGCAGTATTAAATTGAGTATTAACAGTGTACTAGAGATTACTAAGCATTTGACATGTCCTTAATCTTGTATACATTCTATAAAGTGAGATATTTCTAGAGTTTAAGGTAACACATAGTAAGCATGCGGTAATAAATTATTAGGACCCCCCCCCCAACCCACACACACACACCATCTCTCTTTAACAAAGTATTATGTATTTCCCTTTGTCTTTGGGTTGCCAGTTAATTAGAGAGGTGAAGGTGGATATCGTCCACAGGAGAATTGAGAACCAGGATCATTAACCTAACAACCATAAAATCCACAAAAGGCATTGAGTATTTATATATGGAGAATATGGTGGAAATGTTTATTGTATGCATGTAATCTATAAGTTGGTGAAGTGAATTTTCAGGCACTATTGAAACTGCAGAGGAGAAGATATAACCAGTAACAGCATTTAGTTTTCATTGTCTTGAGAATGTGTTTTATAGTGGGTTCATAAAATACTCGGTTTCAAAAGAAATGTTTTCAGCATTGCTGATTATGAATTTATATACCAGATGTAGTCAAGTGTTGCTCAGAGATTTTTTTTTTTACAAAACCCATTTGCTCAAACTATATAAATATTGCATTTAAAAGTGGAGTATGAAAGGATTTGAATTAGAGCATCTGTAGAAGTGTATTGCTAGTATTCCCCTCTCCCTATACCCATTCCCTGCTCCCTTGGCCTGCTGATTGAGTTTGCATCTTTAGAAAGCAGTCAAGAAAATTAAGGAACTTGGACAAGGGAAGTAGTATTCCTAACATTCATCTGCTTTTATTAGAAATCAGCTCTTCACCTTGACATGTTTTTGTTCAAAAGTTTTGCCACAAAGATATTATAATTGTAGTGCAATTTGTTACTGGGGACTTTGACTTTCATATATGGCACTAGTCCTTAAACAATGCCTGTTTTAGAACTTTCGCTTTCATAAAAGAAGTTAAGAAAATGTGATGAAATACAGAAACTGCACTTACGTAAAACCGGTGGAAGCTTTATTATTTCCCTGGTTCCATTTTTTTTAAAAAATGAGTAAATTATAAGATAATGTACAATAAAGTAATGTTAAATCCAAGGGAAATGTCACAGTCTTGGAAGATCTGAGTAACAGAAGAATAGCTGAATACTAATGTGTTTCTCCTTAGGTTAATAAATGGTAGGTCTTAAGGTCAGGTGCTGACCAAGAATTTTGTCTGTCTGACTCTTTCTATGTAGGTTAAATTTTCAGGTAATATTTTTATACTGGAATGCAGATTTTTAACTTCTTTAATTAAAAATATCCTGCCTTACCAGACCAGCTATCCTTGTGGCAGTCATTCTGAACTGAGTTGCAATTCCTTAAGGTGGGGTTTGTGTGGCTTTCAATTTTTTTCCCTACTGCCACCGTACATTTGTGCGATTTTACATGGAATTATTGAAACTTGTGAACTCCAAATTTAACTTGGCACTTTCTAGTGGATACATTTTTCATAGAGACATTAAAAGGATTGTAAAGAGCTGTTTTGTATCCGAGAAGTTCATGTAACTAAAAAACTTACTTTCAGAATTGCTTTGGAGTAGCATCGTCATAATTCTTCCTTCTCAGAGAATTTGATCAATGCAAATTAACCTCTTTACAAGTTAGCCTCTTTGCTCCTATGTTTTAAGAATAAAATGTTCTTTGCAAATCTTAATCATTTTAAAGTTGCAGTCCCTATATGGTCACATTAGAGTATCTAACTTTTTATTGTTATTTGTAACTCTGTCTTAGTTATGCTCCATGGTGTCCTGCATGTCAGAACCTTCAACCAGAATGGGAAAGTTTTGCTGAATGGGGAGAAGATCTTGAGGTCAATGTTGCAAAAGTAGACGTCACAGATCAGACAGGTACTGTTTGTTAAGTTGGATTTATTGTGCTTCTTTGCATATTGGGTTGATGTTTGTCCTGTTTGTTCCACATTACACGGTCTTCATTGCTCTTTCATTGGGTTTTAAGATCATAACTGTCTGCAGCTAGCAAAATTTACCCACTCTCCTCCCTAGTCAGAACTCAGCTTGTGATATCAAAAAAGCAGATCTCCTGGTTCTTTGTGTGGGTGATTCTGAAGGTGCTGGGGAACTCTGCCTCTGCCCCATTCTTTCCCACAGAACTGCATTTGATCTTTTCCCCCTTTGTATCCCAGGCCTTAGCTTTGTAGGTGCAATGCCTTTTTCAGAAAGATATTTTTCACATTGTTGGGTATTGAACCCAAGGCCTTTCAGACTCAAGGCCTTTCAAATATGGAAAGCGTGCAAGAGTTGCTGGTTGAACCTCTTGCTCTAACATGGTTTTTCAGACTTTTTAGAATGCTGTGGTCTGTATTGGACATTGGACCAAGACATCCTTTTCACTTGTGCCAAACTTCAGAAGAAAAGAGCTTGTGATTAAGATTCTTTGTAGAGTCAAGGTCACATTCCCTGACAAGTGATGGAAACCTCTGTCATTTGGTGCTAAATTTAATGCATGTGATTTGTCGTGAATTGTTGATGACAGCCTGCTCAGTTGTAGGGTCAAGTACAGTCTTGACTTAGTCCCCTGGATAAGTAGCAGCCTTGCAAGGATGCTTCTTTCTCAGACCAACTTTTCTTAACATGTCCTTGGTGACAGTAAATCTGGGTTCTTCACTCTGCTCTCATTCCTTATGATATTAATAACTAATATTTGTTGAGCATTTACCTATTATAGGCATTGCTCCAGGTATTTTGTATTTTTTTGTTTAATCCTGACACAGCATTGCATAATAGAGAATATTCTCATTTTCATAGATGCAAAACAAGCCCACACCATAGTTATGTTAGTGTTCAATACGTGTTTACTAAAGTTTACAAGCTCTTATTATTGCTTATCTTGTGAAAGAATCCTATTTCCTTTTTTAACAATGCTTAAGCTCATCCTTTGTTTTATGAATGTGATTTCATACCTTTCTAAGATTTATGTGCTGAACCCACTTATCGCTAGCAGTCTTATACACAGTATAATCAATATATAATTGATCAAATGCTTTTAATATTCAAACTCCACATATTTTTTAACTAAGATATATGTAGAAGGGTGTTCTCAATTTACATAAGTTCCTACTTGATGTTCTTTTCATTTTTTATAAAATGCTACAATTGAAGTTAATTTCATACTCATGCTTACTATTTAAATAAACTTTATTTGTATTTGAATAATTTGGAATCAACTTTTAAGCAGCACATAGTGGCAACATATAAAATCTGTGTGTTATTTCTTACATTTATTTATAATCTATCATTTGCAGGACTGAGTGGACGATTTATCATAACTGCTCTTCCTACTATTTATCAGTAAGTATTTGAAGTTTCTTTATACAGTGGAGTGCATTAGAAATGTAATCAGAATTGGTGGCATCTGGCCTGGATCATGTTCAAAGAGCAAGCATTTTCAGCAAGTATGTTGGAAGGTGTGTTTGCTAGTCCAGCCACCTTTAGAATGGTGTATGAAATGTCCCTGTTCTTAAATACTTCTCATTGTTTTAGAGGTGATATTTGCATAAAATGGTATGGTAATATTCAGAGTAGTAAATGAGCCTAGAGTTGTGGTTCTTGTAGGAATTTTGATAAGGGAAAAATCACCATGCTCTGGAGTGGTTCTGGGAATTAAACCCAGCTTTGGAGGAGAACTTTCTGGAGTATAGACTAAGTATTGGATCCTAAGGCATATCTCCTTAACGTCATAAATAAAAGCACGGTCTATCAAATTAAGAAAGTGCTATCATTCAACTGTGGTGGGAAGAGAGGTTGCCATAGGTGTTTTCAGAATAAACGAGTGTGTGGTCTTCAGTTTCAGGTCTCTTAGTTTGATTTTATCTTCTAAACATGTCTACCTGCCCTCTACCTTAATGTAATCTAGGGGGTGAGTTAGAAGGAAGCACTTCTCTCACCTACAGTTAGGGAAGCAACGAGTTTGAAGTTCTTTGTGTGTCTATATCTAGCTCTTTGTCATATTTCCCTCTCATTTTTATACTAGCCTACGTCTTTTTTATCCTTACTTACATTGTATCTGTTTAAATGCCTATTCTCAGTTTCCATCATAGCTTTTCTCCCTCTTCCTTCTTTCAGTCCTTTATCCTAAATGCCCCTGAAGTAACTAGAGTAACTTTGTTTTTTATCTCTCAATAATACCCCTGAACTGATCTTGAGTTGTCCTTCCCTTTTTCTTCTAGTCACATTGGTTATCTTATTTATTCCCTTACTCTTTGCCTGTTGAACTCCTATCCATCTTCCAAACAAAGGCCCAAAAGCCATTTTCTACTCAAAACTTTGATTCTTTTGAATTGGGACTTGTCTCCTGCTTTTGAGTTCTGAATGGTGGTCTCCTAGCCCTACTGTCAAGTTGACATTGAAGTCCTTGAACTTCATGATAAAACAGTTAGATCGGCTTGATTGACAGTATTATATTTTAAAGTGTGTCACATGGATATGCTGTGGGATCCAGAGCACGGGTGACTGAATCAGAACTCCATATACTAGGGAAGGGAAAAAGGTAGTTGTCAGGAAGAGTCAAATTGGATTTTCAGAAACTGCTACTGAAAAAGGAGGAAGGGAAGCCCTGAAGTAGTGAGTTATCAAGCTTGATGGCTGAGATGATGTCATTGTGACAGAAAATAATAGAAAAATTCTGTGTATCTTTAATCCATAGTTGAGTAATAGCTAATAATTACTAAGGGGCAGACATTCTCCTAACAACTTCATATAATTGCTGCTTTAATATGTATATTATATATGGGCTTAAAGTGATTTTTCTGAGATTTATCTCCTTTCCGTAGGTGTCTTCTTCCTACCTTCCAGTTTTGAGATATAATCGACACATACCTACTTCTAATGTTTCATTGTTTTATTATTGGAAAGAGCAACAAAATAATTTATTTTAAGGCTCATTTTGTGGTGTGTGTGTGTGTGTGTGTGTGTGTGTGTGTGTGTGTACTGGAAAAGACTTAAGGCTGTTTAAAAAGAAACCTCATTCAATTGGAACTAAGATGTTATAAGTACATAGTATTAATTTATTGCTTGTGCATTGCTGATCACTTTCAAAATTGGGATTCACTTTGAAATGAGTTTAGAGAAATAGAACAAATACAAGTGTTTTTCAGTTGTTGGTGGTTAAGATTTCATTTTAATATCCTCTAGTTGTAAAGATGGTCATTTTAGACGCTACCAGGGCCCAAGGACTAAGAAGGACTTCATAAATTTCATAAGTGAAAAAGAGTGGAAGAATATTGAACCTGTTTCAGCATGGTTTGGCCCAGGTTCTGTTCTGTAAGTATAAGTAATTTTTGTCTTACTTATTTTATAATATCACTTGGTCACTTGATCACTTGACATCCTCTCACTCTTGTCGATTTGCTCGAGTGGGCGCCAGAAACATCTCCATTCCTGTAACACGGTAGTGTAGCCCAATGGCGTCTGCTCGCTCCAGGAACATGAAGAGCCTCAAACCGATTATAATATATTAGATCATAATTATATTTCATGGAAGAAGATATTCACGGTTTATTTCTTGAATCTAAAGGATTTTTCAGAGATATTTTTAGTTTGACCTTATCTTAAGTGAAATAATATTTTCATCCATATAAAAGTAACAGGCTGGGGCTGGAGTGATAGCACAGTGGGTAGGGTGTTTGCCTTGCCGACCCGGATTGATTCCCAGCATCTCATATGGTCCCCCGGGCACCGCCAGGGGTAATTCCTGAGTGCATGAGCCAGGAGTAACTCCTGAGCATTGCCGGGTGTGACCCAAAAAGCAGAAGAAAAAAAAAAGTAACAGGCATTATATAGAAGTTGAATATCATTTCAGGAATATTTTGGCTTTTGTAGAAAGGAACTTTTTATCAGCAGAATCTAAGTAAACTCCTTAAGAGTGTGAGCAGTATGATGTGTAAAGCTACTCTTTGGGTTTAGTAATTTGAATGAGAAGTCTCAAACTTTTATCCTTGATTTTCTTCTGTGTCTTTTGCTTTGTTATAGTTGGGAAGAGTGTTACTGTTTGTTTAGGAGCTACATCTGGCTGTGCTCAGGGCTTACTTGTGGCTCTGTGCTCAGGGATCACTCCTAGAAGGGCTTAGAGTCCATATGGGCTACTGGTAATTGAACCTAGATAGACTGCATGCAAAGCAAATGCTCTGCTCATTCCCCTGTCCTGCCTGTGGTCTTTTGCCTTTGGCTCATTCAGTGGTATTCAGGGAGCTATTCCTATGTCTGCTATTCCTATGGGTTGCTCCTGGCAGAGCTTGAGGACCCATGAGGTGCTGAGGATTGAAGCATGACCTCCCACATGCATATCATGCATTTAGCCTGTTGAACAAGCTTTCTAGCCCTGTGCCCTTTTTTTGGTTGTCCACCTAAGAAGCCAATTAGTTCTGGAAAATTTCTTTTCATTTATATGACAATGACTTAGTATTTATTTCAGTTGCAGTCACTTTTTGTTTTGTTTTGTTTTGAAGCCATATCAAACTAATGCTATGGTAAGTTTTATTTTAGTAAAAGGGGCAGTTAATTGCTACCTGGGAAAGACAGTCTCAGTAGGTGTTCCATATTTTCCCTTCAGGCTTCCTTCTCTCCTCATTATTTGTGGGCACTTAAGTCAGAGTAAGAGTTGACATTAGTTTACTGTTGTACGTAATTTATACAGCCTACTTCCAGAGACCTTAAAACCTGTTATTCAGACTGTATTGGAGTGACTGATGAAAGTTGAAAGTTTAATAAACTCAAAGCTAAAGGATGAAAAGGAAAAAAAATTATTAAATATTTTATTTAGGAGGACATCATATCGTTGCTTTAATTCATAAGTTTACTTTCAATTAATGAGTCTCAATTACATATATGAAGTCAGTGATCACTTTATCTTGATTAAAAGGACAATAAAATCTGTCAGATTTTGTTGCTATATATAGAAGGAGTAACAGTTACATATAGAAAATAAAGAGATAGACACCGCCCACGAACGAGCCCTCTGGCTACTCAACAAGCGGCTTAATCCATGGTCCCAGAAACTCAGAAACAAATCTCCAAATCCAGCGGTTTTTGGCAGAAATCCCTCCAGATTTAATTATTAAGATTTCCGAATTCCAAAATCGCAAGGCTGCTACCGCGCCCACACGATATTGTATATTATTCATTATCAGCAATAGGAAACAAATTGTCTAATGTTGCCTTTTCAGTAGGTGTGAGTGTTGGGCCAAAATCCCAAATAATAATGGTGGATCTGGTGTTGAAATATTGAATGTAATCAAAATAGAGAGTAATGTGGAAACCGTCTGCCACACAGGTAGGGGAGGATCTAGGATGGGGGGTAGATTGGGGTTTTTGGTGGTGGAAAATGTGCACTAGTGAAGGGACAAGTATTTTATCATTGTATGATTGAGACTTAAACCCGAAAGCTTTGTAACTGCTCTCACGGTGATTCAATAAATAAATGTGTATATATAAAAAGAAAGGAAAATAGAGATCTATATATTCTGTTTTCAAACTACATCATAATGAGCCTCTTTTCTTTTAGGATGAGTAGCATGTCAGCGCTCTTTCAGCTGTCTATGTGGATCAGGGTATGGCTAACATTTTATATCTATTTAAAACATTTTTAACTTTATTTTTTAAATGACCAGCTTTTCAGTCCTTTCTTTTCTTTCTTTTTTTTTCTTTTTTAGACTTGTCACAATTATTTTACTGAAGACCTTGGATTACCAGTTTGGGGATCATACACAGTTTTTGCTCTAGCCACTCTATTTTCAGGACTACTACTAGGACTTGTAAGTACTTCCTTTTTAGGGTACTAAGACTATTTAAAAATTTGATGATATAGTTCTAGTACTAGTTGTATCATATATTAGACATTTAGATTTCTTATGTTTGTTTTTATAGTGTATGATATTTGTGGCCGATTGCCTTTGTCCTTCAAAAAGACGTAGACCCCAGCCATACCCTTCCAGTAAGTATATTTTAAAATACAAATGTAAATTAGACTTAACAGGCTTCCCTTTATCTTAAGTTTTTTAAAATGGAGTGGTATCTATATTGAATGGGAAAGGAGATACATATATCATATAAGAAAGTTCACCCACTGGATTTTAGAACATAGATATTTTATTGGCTTTTGTAATATGGAAGGTGCATATAAATTGTGATTATATACTATTGAGATGATTAATAAACTTGATCTGCTACCAGCTTATTTGAAAATTCTTTGATAATCATGGATCCATTTAATATACTTCATCACTGTCATCACTGTCCTCCTGTTGTTCATCGATTTGCTCGAGCGGGCCCAGTAACGTCTCCATTGGAGACTTTGTTGTTACTGTGTCTGGCATATCGAATACATCACGGGTAGCTTGCCAGGCTCTGCCGTGCGGGCGAGAGACTCTTGGTAGCTTGCCGGGCTCTCCGAGAGGGGCGGAGGAATCGAACTCTGGTCGGCCATGTTGGCTGCGTGCAAGGCAAACGCCCTACCGCTGTGCTATTGCTCCAGCCCTAATATACTTAAATCAAGGAATAGTTGGGCATTCTATTCTTGAATTCATTAGTATAGGAACCACTTTTGGATATTTTTTGTATATGGTAGCTAAGGTTTTACTGGTTCTATTCTTGAATTCATTAGGATAGGAACCACTTTTGGATATTTTCTGTATATGGTAGCTAAGGTTTTACTGGTTGGGTATTGGGACAGGAAACTTTAGTTACGGTTTAGGACTGGCATTGACATAGGCTTCACTGTGAGTTTGTGTAACTAAACGCATTGACTGTTATCTGCTTCAATACAGTTTCCTACCAGTCATTTACTTTTAGTAACCTTCTTGTCATGGGAGCCCCTCCTGTTTGAGGTTTATGAAGAACTCTGCTTCCTGTCATTTGCTTACTTTTGAGCAGATATCTCAAGTCGACTGCATAAGTGATGTACTTCCCATTTTTTGTGGTTGAAGAAACTCAGGTTTAGAGAGGTGAAATGCTTACCCAACGTCATACAGAAGGGCTAAGAATAGTATTGTGACCTTTGACCTGGCATTTGTTTCATTATATTGCTTTGATGCTTGAGGGTTTCTTGATCAAAACTTCTAATGTGAAATTGTATTTATTGATACTTTGTTCAATGACTAAGTGGTAGGTTGTGCTGATAAAGGAGGAAGGGAAGGGAATCTTGTTATTTAACAAGGGCCACTGATATAGAGGGAAAAATTGTAAGGTTGGGAAAAGCTCACCATCCTGCATTCTGTCTTTGGTACCACATACCCTCCATTCCCTCTCTCTCAACCCTCAGTAGCACTACTGAGTGTAGCCCCCTAAAAAAATTACAGGAAAAAATGTAGATTACTTAAACAATTTAAAAGTTGATCAATTAAAATACTACTTATTTGGGGTCTAGTTCGGCAGTGCTTAAGGGCTACCTATGATTAGATGCTCAAAGGACCAACCCAGGGGACTAAACCAGGCAGTGCTGTGTACTGAACCTGGATATCCTGAATGTAGCACTTATGTTATAACCCTGACCCTGAACAGTTTACATTTTTTTATACTTCATAAACCTAACCCTAACAACATATTTGTCTTTCAACTTGTGAAAGAGCTGGTAGTTACTAATCTATGCTTTAATGCTGTACTCTCCTGTTGTGGAAGTCACATGATTCAAATTGCTTTTTCATCCCATATTTGGTTAGGAAAACATCCAAGTAAGTCAGACATGAAGGAAAGTAGGAGTCTTTGGTTCATATAACAAGAAAGATTGAAGTCAGAGTTGAATGGATCCTGGACTCGAGTGTTAGGATGCTGTTTTTAGATTTCTCAGTTATCTCTGTGCCTTTGTTTGCTCTATTTTTGGCTTTTTTTTCTAGCACGGAATTATTTAGAAAGCCATAGAGTATAAAAGAAAACCTGATTTCTCCCTATATCCACTTATCTTCTGGAGAAATTCTGGATCATTTCACTTGTATAAAGCGCTCATTTCTTGTAATAGTCATTATAAACCTTCATATTCTGGACACTCATGACCTTTTGAGTTGTGTAATGTTCATTTTTAAAATATGAGCCATATTCACTGGGCATCACCAGGGCCCCCCTAGTGGTTCTCGGGGGCCATGTACTACTGTGGATTGAACTGGAGGCACATAAGTAAACTCTCTCCCTCTTTAGTCCTTGAGCTGGATAATTTTTAAATTGTCTTTTGTACACTGTTAGATAATCAGCAGCATTGCACTAGATGCAAGTACTGCCATCCTTCTCAGTTTGGACAACAAAAAGTATCTAGATACCACTAAGTTGTGTTTGGGGAGGAGGGTGGCATGGGTGATGGGAGTACAACTGCTACTGCAAATTGTAGTTTGGATTACAGCCATGTGCAGTGAGGAATAGGGAAGGGGGTTATTAACTCTTGTATAAACTCTCAAGGGGCGGTCAGGGGGGCCCCCGATGGCTCTTCCCATAGCCACCTGCGTTTGGGATGGACCCAGGCCACTCCCCCAGCCAGGGCGGCCAGGGCGGCCTGGGCCTTGGGGCAGACGGAGGAGGAAAGGAGGGCCAAGCAGGTTGGTTGATCAGTTGCCATCTATTCCATTCTCTCCACTTGCCTGCCCCAGTCTCTCTTATTTATTTATTTTTTAATTTTATTGAATCACTGTGAGATAGTTATAAGCTTTCATGTTTAGGTTACAATCACAGAATGATCAAACACCCATCCCTCCACCAGTGCACATTCCCCACCACCAATATCTCCAGTATATCCCCCCTTTCCCACCCTCCCCCTGCCTCCATGGCAGACATGATTCTCCATAATCTCTCTCTATTTTTGGGCATTATGGTTTGCAATACAGACACTGAAAGGCCATCATGTTTGGTCCTTTATCCACTTTCTGCACACATCTCCCATCCCAACCAATTCCTCCAGCTATCTTTTTCTTAGCGATCCCTTCTCTATTCCAGCTGCCTTCTCCCCTTTGCTCATGAGGTAGGCTTCCAGCTATGGAGCAATCTATCTGTCCTGTGTATCTACTGTCCTTAGGTGTCAGCCTCATGTTATATTGTTTTATACTCCACAAATGAGTGCAGTCTTTCTCTGTCTGTCCCTCTCTTTCTGACTCATTTCACTTAGCATGATACTCTTCATGTCTATCCATTTATAAGCAAAGTTCATGACTTCATCTCTCCTGACAGCTGCATAGTATTCCATTGTGTAGATGTAGCAAAGTTTCTTTAACCAGTCATCTGTTCTCGGGCACTTGGGTTGTTTCCAGATTTTGGCTATTGTGAACAATGCTGCAATGAATATATAGGTACAGATGTCATTTCTACTGTGCTTTTTTGCATCCTCAGGATATATTCCCAGAAGTGGTATTGCGGGGTCATATCGAAGCTCAATTTCTAGTTTTTGAAGGACTGTCTATATTGTTTTGCAGAAAGGCTGGACTAGTGGGCATTCCCACCAATAGTGAAAGAGTGTCCCTTTTTCCGCACATCCATGCCAGCACTGGTTGCTTTTGTTCTTTTGAATGTGTGCCAGTCTCTGGTGTGAGATGATATCTCATTGTTGTTTTGATTAAAAAAATGCTCCACATTGCCCCAGTCTCTCTGAGCCTCCCATTCTAGTCTCTCACTGCTACTCATTCCCGTCTCCTGTCTCTCCCGCTCATCTCTTCGTGCTCCGTCTCGCAGCCTGGGCTTTCTCTCTCTCTCTCCACGTGCCTGCTCCTGTGTTCTTCTTCTACGTTCTTCTCTCTCTATCCCCCTTACTAGCCTCTCCAGGGTCCATCTTGCCTCCCTGCTCTTTCTCAAGCTCTCCCCAGTTCTCTTGTCTCCAACTTCCCAGCATTCTGGGCTGACACAGCACCCTGTCAGGTAGCAAAATCAGCATAAAAAAGCCCTTCCAGAAGGCCCACCTTCTGGAAAAGGAAACAAGGGAAACACTACGGAAGAGGTATTCCAAAGCCCTTCCTGTCTGCTCAAGGCCAAAATACCTCTTAAGGTGTTTTTCTCCTTTCCTCAGTCCAATAACTATCAACCACTTAATATTTATTTATTTATTTTATTTTTATTAGTGAGACACAATGAGGTACAGTTGTAGACTTACAAATTTTTGTGCATTTTTGTATGAACACTTAAGAGATAACATTGAGGCTTATAGGGCAGCTCTCCTGGGAACATCTTGCCACAGACTCAGACTACAGCGCTCAGGCCAGATCAATCATTCCTAACCCTAGCAGGGTCCGAATCTGGTTACTACTTTTTGGATTGTGACAGCATTTGTCCATGACCAAGCTCTTAACTTTTAGTTAAGCATTATGGCACTTTGGCCAGGCCCATCTCGATGCCAGGGTAGCAAAAAATTAGGGTATAAGTGTATGTGTGTACATACTCAAAAATGTACTGATCTTTATACAGTATTTTGGTGTATTGTAGTTCTTCTCAAATTCACAAGATCTCAAATTCACAGCATTAATCTGGGTTATGATTTTTAGTTGCATTCTTCCCGGCCGTGTATCTATACATTTAAAAATTAACTAATTAATTTTTGTTTTGGAAGCCATACCCTGAAGTGCTCAGGGTTTACTCCTGTGCTCCCAGTAGTTTCTCATGGACCATATGGAATTTTGAGGATTAATCCTGGCAAGGTATATGCCTACCCATTATATATACTATCTCTTCAACCCCCCAGACCATTTCTTTTGGAAACAGTATCATTCTCCCTAACTTTTTTCTTCCTAACTTTTTTTTCCCCAAATGCCACACATAAGACTGGTAAATGCAAAAGCAGTTAATTTTGCTCTTACTCTAATACCAATCTCAAACATCAACAAAAAACACATTTCTGATCTTTCTCCTATTTTTAAGACAAATTATCGGAATCATCTCTACCGGTGAAAGAAGTGGAGAAGAAACAAGAGGCTGATGAAGAAGATGCTTCAGAAGAGGAAGCTGAAAGGAAAGAAGAAACACACAAAGACTTGTCACAGAGTGCCCTCAGACAGCGTCCTGTGGGCCCGTCACTGGCCACAGATAAATCCTAGTTCACTTTTATAGATATCTTAATATGGTCTTGACAAAACAGAAGAATGAGCTTTTCTTTTGGGTTGAAATTAACTGTGAATTGCTTGCAGAATTCAGTCTTGATTGTCATTGGATTGAAAGGTCTACTTTCAGAAAGTAAAGTAGCTAAGAACTTTGAAAGTTGTATTTAAGAACAAAATGATGGTTTATAGAATTCTTTAAATTTTTTGATGAGCTTTTGGAAATATCTGGTGCCAAGCAATGAGATTTGTGTGTTTAAGTAATAAAACCTTTCAAGTCTGAGTTGAAAAATTACATTTCCCAAGTATTACATTATTGAGGTATTTAAGGAGATTAGAGAAAACAGTTTCTCATCTGATATAATTTTTCTCAGTTTCACTGTGTGAAAAAAAAGAACATTTCCCATAAATGGGAACTTTGCCCCTTGTCTCAAGAAATGCATATATTAGTAGCAACTCTATGCTCTTTTTAAAAGGTAGACTACAAAATTTCTTGTATTTTTAGGTTATGCAACTAATAAAAATAATCATAAATTTTCTACATATAATTTGTGCTTCCCTATAGGAATTGCTACTGATTTAGGGAGGCTTTTTTTTTTCTCTTAATCTACTGTGCCGTCTTGATTCCTATACAGATTGCTTGCCTTTCTGTTCCTCTTTGTTCAATGTATGGTATGTACTTTTCTTTTTCTTTTCTTTTTTTGATTTTTTTTTTTTGGGGGTATGTACTTTTCTTTTTCTTTTCTTTTTTTGATTTTTGTTTTTTGGGTCACACCTGGTGATGCTCAAGGGTTGCGCCTGGCTCTGCACTCAGGTATCACTCCTGGCAGACTTGGGGACTATATGGAATGCTGGGGAATGGAACCTGGGTTCGCCATGTGCAAGGCAAGCACCCTATGTGCTGTACTATCTCTTGGGCCTCTGTACTTTTCTTAAATACCATGAGTTACACTTTTTATTTTCAAAGTTAGATAATTTCTTAGCAATATGTTTTAATAACTAGTACTTTTTTTGGTTTCATACTTTTTTGTTTGAGCTATCAGCTAATTAAAATTTTGGCTACTCATTTCAGATTTTACATCATTCTTGTTAAGCTCTACTTGAACTTTATTTTTAATAATTTTTGTTATGAAGATGAACATTCCTGATTTTTATTTCATGTATGGAAAAGCCTTGGTATTTTAGATTTTTGAAAATCATGAGAAGCTTAATTTGATATAAAAGTTTGCATTCTACTCAGGAAAAAATTCCACCTTTGAGTGTATGTTCTCACTGTAAATTTACCCTAGTATACAGAAAGCTCTTAGTTGATTATACGATGTGGGTGTATACTGTGTGTTTTAGAACCATAACTTTCTTCTGTTTTTGAAGATAGAGTACATCTCTACTGTTCTATCTGTAGTGTGGTATGTTACAGGTGGGAAATAATCAAGAGGAGATATTTAGGATATTTTCTTCCTTAAAGAGCTAGAACTGAATTTTAATCTTAGTGGTGGATTACAGTAATGTAGTTAGGGGGAAACCACAAACATTTAGAATGAATCGATCACCTGTTTATTATGTAGTCAGCAATTTCTGTACAGCTTTCTTTTGTCTAGATTCTAATGTGTGAATCCATTAGACCTAGAATATAATGTTGTATAGCAATTTTCTTTTAAATTTTAATTTTCTTTTTAGAATATTAAATATCCAACCGTTGAATGGTTTGGATGTTTATTAAGTTTAGAATGCTTTAAAAAATGTATTCAAAGCACAAAATAAACTTTTCTAAGTGCTTCACTGAAGTTAAAGATGGATGTGATTTCTAGTTGCATATTTATAAATGCTTTGTATTTAACACTGTACAAATAGTCCTATCACTTTTTAATGTATTTAAGTCTGTAATCCTAAGGCTAGAGTCAAGTACACATTTTATTCTCTTGGGATGGTTGAAGAAAAGAGTGCTCATTGTTCAAGGAGTATTTTCATATTTATGATGCTGAAGTTTCAGGATTTTTAGTAATGAGAAAATACATGTATATAGAAAATTGAAAGGTAGGCTGTAGTAACAGAGATTTCATAGTTTAGAAAAGCACATGACTTGAGAGTTCTTCAGGATTATCGTTGTGGATACCTAAATAATCAATTTTCACTCACACTAAGGCTTACAGATACTTTATGATTAATATAATAATAGATGCTTTTTTATTTCCATTATCAGTTTAAAGGAACTCACTCAGTCTGGCAGTTTAACTACAAATAGTTCAGGAGAGTTTAAGAGCAGTATCAGCATTTAGAGAACTCTTGGTTGGTTCCCGCAGAAATCATTCTGTTCTACCTATATTTTGTTTATTGTTTTTAACGAAACAGGGTAGTTTTTAATTGAACAAAATTTACTTAGTTGTGAGGGAAGAAAAAGAGACGAATACATATTCAAGAAAGAACACGGACTTCTCCCGAGTGAAAACAAGTAAAGAACGTGTTAAAGATGATCAGAAGCCCAAGAAGGCAAGCTCTCCTCTACCTTGGAAATATTGTCAAATCTTAACATTCCAGTGGGAAATGCAGCTTACCACATACTGCATACTAATCAGCAGTACTGGTAATTTTCAGATTGCTGTGTATGTATGCTACTATCCAGAGTTGTGGTACGTTATTTTCCTGTGTTCATTTGTTCCTAATTATAATGTCAGATGGGTAAGTAAGCATGAGACATCTTTCAGGTGAAAGCTCTGAGAGCCATGACAGAAATAGGTGAAATGTGAATCCATTTCTGATTTAAATTTTGTCCTTTTATCCCAGTATGAGATTGAGAATTCAGTAATATATTAAAAAAAATGTGTTTTAAATTAAAATTTCCCTTTGAGAAAATTACTTCACATAGTACACAGAAATACCAGAATTAAATATTTGCATTCTTGTGCTAACAAATACTACTTAAAGAATTAAGGATTATTACAGTAAAAGGTAATTTTCCCTTAAGTAAACAACTTATCTTCATTCATATTTCATTTTATATTTCATAGAGTTTTTTCAAAAAAAGATAGGTTCCCATTGGAAGAGGATTGTGCTAATTTTTTAAAATTTTTTGGCCACACCCAGTGGTGCTTGGGACTTCTCATCAGGTGCTTTGGGGGTCATTCTGGCAGGGGACAGTGGGGTGCTGGGAATTGTACTAGAGAGCACCACTGAAGAACCTTCTACATGCACAACTTGCACTCCAGCCCATTGAGCCATCTCTCTAGCTCAGGATCAGAATTGATTTTTTTAAAACTCAGTTTAGCATTTTACTATACTGCATCCTAAGCAGGCTCTTCCTGGCATCAGGTGCAGTTGCTGCAGTATACTTTGACACCACTTTGCAAACGGCCCTGGTTTGCAAAATTGTGCTGCCCAGGAGGCAATGGTAGTAGCAGCATTTCTTGCAGATACATTTGCACCCGGAGTAAAGGATGCTTTTGAAGTAATTTTCTTGCAAGTCACTGTGTCCTTATACAACCCAGTGCTAGGCATAGCTCCAGACTTCATTATGATAGGCTGGACATTCATTTTTGCATTAGCCATGGTTTGATGTAGAATGATAGTAATTAGTTTTTAAATTTCCTCTGCTTTATTGAGGTATATTGACAAATCTGAAGTGTAGATCTTTATAAGAAATTGATTTGACAGTGGGAGAGATAGCCCTGAAGTTAAGGAACATGCTTTGCATGTGGCTGATACTGGTTCAGTCCCCAGCACCGTAGATGGTCCCCATAGCATTGCCAGGTGCAGCCTTGAAGACTGAGCACTGCCAGGTTTGACTCTGGAGGGTCCTGAGCACCACTGAAGAGCCTGAGTAACCCCCAGCTCAGTAAGACCTGCACAGCACTGCATCCTCACACCCCGGCATTGCACCTCGCCTTAGGTGACTAATCGTGTCCTGGAGGGGATCCTAACTTTCTGAGCACACTTGGGAGATGCTTCCTAATCCCCAATTGATTTGAAATGGTATTTACTGGGTAATTGTGTAAATATAAAAATAAAGTTTTCATTTTGTACTCTGCCAAAGTTAAATGATTTTTATATGTGTTTATTTTTTATTCAATCACCATGAAATAGAGAATTACAAAGCTGTTCATGATTGGGTATCAGTCATACAATGGTCCAACACTCATCTCTCCAAAAAAAAAATTAAGTTTTTAATTGAGTATTGCAGATTTAATAAGTGTTGGTATTTTATATCTAGCATTTGTCTTGAGACCATAAAAACTAAAATAACACAAAACGTAAGCTGGAAGTTTATATGTAAGGTTATATACTTGAACACATTTATTTTCTTTTTAAAATGATTATTTTGATTAATTACATACGGTTTTAATAACACAAAATGTAAGCTGAAAGTTTATATGTAAGGTTATATACTTGAACACATTTATTTTCTTTTTAAAATGATTATTTCGATTAATTACATATGGTTTTAATAACAGTATTATATTCATTAATGGAATCAGTTTCTCCCTCTCTACTTTTGGCTGTTTATTGCTTTTCATTGTGCTGTCACAGCTCAGACTGGTGGTGTCTTGGAAATGAAAATGTGAAAAAGGAAAAATAGGATTTCAGTTTATCAAACAGTGGTTTGATTTACTTGAACTTCTTTTAAATCTAAATGTAAATAACCACTATTTAAAGCGTAGGGAAAATAAACTTTGTTTTGAATAACAAGTAGCAAATTTTTAAAAACTAGTGTCAGCATTTTACTAAAACCTATTGGATAAAAATGATTGTTACTAGATTGAAATACATCAATCCATGTATTTGGAATGAACATTTGTACTTGCTGGAGAAACTTTCTAATCGTAATGTCTCTTCACACAGTTAAGTATATACTTAGTTGGAAATTTTAAATGTTCTTACTTGTATCTTTCCCTGCACCAACTCAACAATAGTTAATATTTCTAAAACTCCTTAACATATCAGCTATTCCATAAATATGCTTCATATTTAGTTGTGATTAATGTGTCAACTGAAATCCGAAAATCCTTTCTGGCCTACAGTACTTTCACTTATAAGGGAACTCTAGTGGGGTTTTGTCATTCTCTGGCAGTGAAGTCATTCTGTTTTGTAATATTTCTTCTCTTACATTTATTATCCTAATTAGTGATGCTGAACCAGTCTACAAATGTCTCGGGGCCTTAATTGGTATGCAGAATCATTTAACAAGATAATCGCTGCATTTATATTTACAAAACCTGACTGTCAACTCCTTGAAACCAAAAAGCTTACTGTTTGTTTAACACAACCTGTGCTATGGGAAAGACTGGGGGACGGTTAAGAGACCCCAGTATCTCATCTACTTTCCCCAGTAACCACTATTCTACTTTCTGTTTCTGTGGATTGGATCACTCTAAGAATCTCATAAGTGGACTCATGGCAGTAACATGAAGAAGAGAGGGAGAGAGACCTGACTTCATTTTTTTGTCTCTGTCCATTTGTAAAATGAAAAGTCACTTCCCTGATTGTGTTCTCAGCCTACTGAGATGGAACAGGGAATAACAGAGGCTGCCCTGCCTCTACCATCATCATAGATATGACAGTCTAATGTTCTGTGTTCTCTTTGTGATTAGAAGCTGACCCCATTCTTTCTAGGGATGGATTTTGTATTGAGGCATAGTAATCAAACTCAATGATTGACATGGTCAATTGATATGAACCATTGGTGCCAGTAAGGAGATGGGGTTTCATCCCCTCCTCTCT